CGATCGATGTAATTCGTCAAGCGGAAACCGAAAAGAAAAGTGACGCTTGTGGTGTTTGCTGACAATCCGACCCTGCTTCGTGTACAAATGCAATGACATTTCGGCAGGGCTATAGGCTACGAAACCTTTCAAACTCGAAAAGGACGAACTGTTTTAAAGAAAAAAGGTACTTCATTTTTGGTAAAAGTAATAGATAATTTTTTTTTTCGCTAAATATTCCACAGATCGATGTAACTCGTCAAGCAGAATCCGAGAAGAAAAGTGACCGGTGGTGCTGTTTGCTTACAATCCGACCCTGCTTCGTGTACAAATGCAATGCCATTTCGGCAGGGCTATAGGCTACGAAACCTTTCGAACTCGAAAAGGCGCTACTAATTTTGAATAGGTACTTCATTTTTGGTAAAAGTAATAGATAATTTTTTTTTACGCTAAATATTCCACAGATCGATGTAACTCGTCAAGCAGAATCCGAGAAGAAAAGTGACCGGGGTGCTGTTTGCTTACAATCCGACCCTGCTTCGTGTACAAATGCAATGCCATTTCGGCAGGGCTATAGGCTACGAAACCTTTCGAACTCGAAAAGGCGCTACTAATTTTGAATAGGTACTTAATATTGGGTAAAAGTAATAGATAAGATTGTTTTACATTAAATATTTGACAGATCGATGTAACTCGTCAAGCGGAATCCGAGAAGAAAAATGACGGATGTGCTGTTTGCTGATAGTCCAGAACGGCTTCGTGTACAAATGCATGGCGGGGAGACCAGAAAGTTTTCGAAACTGCGTGAGTGGAAGTCTGCGTTGGACAAATTTTGAAAATATCTGAAGGTTTAACGAATTTTGGAGAATTCGACAGAGCTACAGACTACGAAACCTTTCGAAACGAACACACGTGTCCTGTTGAACTTGAAAAAAGACGAAATTATTTTTAAAAAGGTATATTGTTGCTAAATAATAGATTTTTTTTTTTAATTAAAATATTTGACAGATCATGGTAACTCGTGAAGCAACATCTCAGAATTGAATCGGGGAACGAGGAATCAAAAAAAGGTTAACAATTTGGATCATTTTGGAAGATACATACGCCGCGCTTTTCAAAGCGGACAGACGTGCCCTTGTCCAACTGAAACGAACACACGTGTCCTGTTGAACTTGAAAAAAGACGAAATTATTTTAAAAAGGTATATTGTTGCTAAATAATAGATTTTTTTTAATTAAAATATTTGACAGATCATGGTAACTCGTGAAGCAACATCTCAGAATTGAATCGGGGAGTTGTGTATTTGCTGGCAATCCGGGCCTGCTTGGATCATTTTGGAAGATACATACGCCTGCGCTTTTCAAAGCGGACAGACGTGCCCGTGTCCCACTTGACAAAGGCGGAATTATTTTAGGAAAGGTATATTATTTGTAAAAAAAAAATATACAATTTTTAAGTAACATATTTGACAGACCATGGCAACTAGTAAAGCAGAATCCGAGAATTCAATCGGCGGCTGTATGTTGACTGACAAGAATATAATTGCTGTTAATCCGGCCCTGCTTCTTGTACAAATGCATAGTGGGGAGACATGAACATTTTTCGAAATTGCGGCCCTATCCTCTTGGGATTCTACGTTGGACAAATTCTGAAAACGACCCAGAAATATAATTGGTGAGAAAATAGTTTTTTTTGTTGTGTTAACAGTTAACAATTTTTTTATTTTGGAAATAAGGGGTTTCAGTGTGTACTGGTAATAGTGAATCAATTTAATGACCTCAGCATCTCTAAACCCCCATCTTGAGACGCGTTAACGATCCGGATCGAGTTACGTCGCGTAATTGTGTCACTTTTTTAATTAAAAAATGAAAGAGATGTACCTACCATACTTTAGAAACCCCTACTCCCCTTTGGAGGTGATGAAATAAGTTTTGGCATAAAATATAAGTTCATCGTATTACTTTGATATAAGTATAAGTCTTGCCTGTTTTTTTTTTTTTAAAGGAGGTTCAAACCCGTGCGAGGTGAGGTTTGATATATGAAACAGACCAGTCATGGGGACACGAGATATGGAAAGTTTCAGCGTAGTCGTCGCCACATTGCTGCCAACACTGCATATATAAGGAATCACGAACCATTCAGGTAAAATTTTGAAAACACATAGTTATGGCAATATAGAACCTCTCTTTTTTTAACAGGAATATTGAGACTTAGACCAGTATCTTTTAAGTAGGCATGTGGGGTAAAGAAGACGCAGAAGCTTCAGTCGGGTACCATCGTACCACGTAGGCGATTGATATATTTCCACCACTACCTATGTTGGATTGGAATTTCCCATTTGATGCTTTGACTGACTAAATGAGGAAACTTGGAGGTAAGCTCTTACGGAATTCTATCGAAATATGTTTAGTAACATATTGGTGCATTACTCTGTCTTCCAGTCAGTTTCACATAAACTTTGCACGTATTATAGAAATGCCACCTACTTTTTTTGTGTTAATATTATTGAAAGTAGTAGCTGGTAGCTGTAGTCGTAAGCCCAGAGAGTCTCTGTTTTGAACATAATACACAAAATGGGGCGTTCAAAAACAATAGACTGCATGCCTTTTAGAGTCGGCGTAAACTATGGTCATATACCCCTGATCAAATTCAGAACTAGAAAATCGTTGTGTCTCTGCATTAAAAAATAATAGTAAAATTTATTGTAGGCACCTAGTAGAGTATCGAAAATTTCCATTTTTAGTGCCAAATTGGTTACTCCAGTAAATTCCAACTGTTCTAATTTTTTTTTTAATAATTTATGATGTTAGTGAGTTTCATTGCAATTATTTGTTACTTAAATTTTCTGCGTATTAAACCATAATTAACAATACGCTATTCGTTAACGCAGGTAGAATTAATGACGCTGACTGACCTGATTTTGTCCAGGGGGCGTAGTACGGTAGTTTGTACTGTGATGTTTGGTAGTTTGGCAGTGAGCTCTCATTTATGAAACTGGGGAATGTTTCGTTATCTTCAAATCGTAAACACGTATCATTAGAATTATATTTTTAAAATATTGATTAGGACATGTACTAAGTAACTAAATGCTCTAGCGAAAATATTCACACATATTGCGGAAAACGTACAAATTTAAATTAGAGAAAATTAACTATTTTTAGAGGTTGGTTTTTCAAAAAGGTGGGGATTTAGTTAAAGAACAGATAGAGACTAAAGGGAAGCTCTATGAGAAAAGTTAGAATTAAAAAGTCGATGTTTTCGTGTCATAGCGAAAGATGGATTATTATTAAAAATAATACTTGCATTAATTGTTGTCACCATTTGTGAAAAATATGGAAAATATCCTCTAGGTTCGCATACCTTTTTTTTAATTTTTTTAAGGTGGCTAACAAAATACACAGACAGAAAAGTTTAGATCCTGTTCGTTAATGTAGCGCATAGAAAAAAATTAGAAAAGAGAACGTTTCGTGTATGGCATACGTAGTTAGTACGGAATATTAATCTGAAGGCTGCAAGACAGTGAAAGAGTGATGCGCTTAAGTGTGGTTCAGAGGGGTTATTTGGGCTGTAGAAGTTTTTCTTTGAACAGGGTTCAAATAGCGTCTCCTAGAGCGTTAGCAGAGAAGAGTATTACAGTATTTAATATAAGCGTCCAGATTTCATTATTGTTGAGATTTCACAGAAACACACTTTCATGTAGTAGTCGCAGCAGCTTTAAAGTATATGACTTTTTAGTTAAGATGCCTTTCGAGTTTGCTTTATGGCTTGATAGGAAATTAAAGGCTAGATACAGATAAGTTACGAAAAAAAGTATGTACACTATCCTCAAAGATCAGCAATAAATAAAAGAAATTGATGAAATAGTAAAGTTGACTGCGATATCTTAAAATCATCAATAAGATAGATAAATTAAATTAATTTTGAAAATATTAAATAATAAAAACAAATAATAAAAATAGCAAAGAAAATCAAAATCATCAATAAGATAGATAAATTAATTTTGTAAATATTAAATAATAAAAATAAAATTATAATAGTAAAGAAAGCCTACCACGGCCACATACACATAATATTTTCGACATATGAACTTTTCCCAGATAAATAGTCAAATATTTCACGATACCTTAAAACAGAAGCATGCGGAAATATGTATGAAGTTAACGCACGGTAGATTGCTTAGTAAATTAAAAAGGTATATGGTTTCTAATATCCTACTTTATTAATGAAAATTTTAACCAGCTTTTTGTTTTGCAGATATTATTGGTGGTGCCTGCCAGCTTCCAGTTCCGAGAAAAGAAATCCAACACTTTTCGTCTTTATTTCCCCTGTCCTTTGTGCGCAATAAAAGTACAGTTTGTACCCGCGTGGGTACACATTCGCAGAATTATATGTTTTTAAAATAAATGTTTTGGTCAATATTCACTAGGTGGGGTTACCTTATTAAAGAAAATCTTATTCCAAGAGGGGACACTAGTTTACATTCGAACCGCTAGAGGGTGCAGATGGTCACGCGAACAATATGATCAAGTCTCATTGACGCCATTGCTTTTCTTAGGGGTGGGAAAATATCTGGGCTCTGATTGGCTTCGCCGCCATCGCAAACTAGAGGTGGGGAGATTGATTAAACCGCATTTCTGGTTGCTTATCCAATGGGGACCAGTTTCAAGGGATTATGGGTAAAGGCGGAGGAGCTAGAGAGTCGTGGGGAAGGAGGATACGCCCACAAAAGGGAGAGGAGTGGGGGAAGCCTATATTATACTTATTCACTACTTATCCGCTACCAAAAATGGCGTCCATCCCACAACGTGTTGGGTTTGTAGCGCATGTGCTGCCGGACGTTTGGGCTACGGTTTTGTAAGCTCAAACGTCCAACACTTTCCCCATCGCACTCGCTACCGCTACGTATCAGGAGCGCTTCGCTACGTCCACTGAATATGACCTTTCAGCTGAGCCAGAGTGACCCTTTTTGTCGCGTTTTCGTCCATTTCCCCTGCGTTTAGAGCAATCTCAGGTATTTTTAGGTAACGCGAGGAACATGAAAAGCGTTTCGGGGCACATCGCGTCTTACACACTGTTCGCGTTGTGCCTATTCGTTTACGTCGCATATTCGGCCCAGTTTTTTGTTTTGCTTCAAGCGTCGAGCAACAAAATTACGGATATATGGGCACTGGTCAATTCGGGAATGGAATTGGGCGCCGAAGACGTGCTTTACAACAGAGACTATTACACGGTAATCGTAAAGGTCCCGGTGGCGTCTAAAGACAATTTTAAATTTCAACCCATGCTTTCAAATAAAGAGCACTACAAATCAACAAAATTTATTCTTTCTACTACTTAGTCCCCTAAAAAATGCTTAATTAATTGATCAATTCTTTCATTGACCTTTCGCTTGCTTTGAAATTAGGTCCAAAAAATACAATGCTGCAAATCCAATTTAATAAATTACTTTTTCCTGTTAGTAAATTTTGTTTTGTTTTCTTTTTGTAAATATTTTTATACATTATGCATTACTTTACCATTGTGAGTCAAGTTGTCGGTTCTTTTTTGGTTTTAATTGGTTTTAATTGACTAAAGAAGGAGAGCTTTTACATATTTATTTATAGGAAAGGTGCACATCTATAATTTTAACAAATGCTAATTGGAAAACTATATTGTTTGAGTATTATTTACGTCTTTTGGAGGCATGTTTGGCCCATCAACATAATATTTTAATTATGTTTTTTTTTTAAATTTTCTAAATATATTCCTTATATTTCCCTATTAACCTATGGTTATGATTTATTTGTCTTATTTAGAGAGATATGGATAATTTTTCATTTTAAAATCTCATTATTCAATTTTTCCAGTCTAAAAAAAGTAATGTGCAAACGGCATCTTCGTATCTTCAACAAAAACAGAATTTCCTATATAAAACATTGATCAAGCGGCACAATAATGAAACTTCATCAGAAGTTTTTATGTAATATTTATCGCATCATTAGAATAGAAAAATATTTTATCTCTTATATATAGTGAGAGTTTGAGAGTTAATTTCCTACCAACTTATTAATACTTAATATTTGCTTTTTTGGAGACATTTCTCGCCCTACTCACCATATATTATTTCTGCATGTATCTTTTTTATCTTTTAAATATATTTATTATGTTACTTAAATATTCCGATGATGAACCTCTGCTTACAAACCGCCATCTTTTTTTTGTGACTTTCTTCCCATTTTACAAGCCTCTTTAGCTGTGACATATGGGTGATTCTGTTTTAACTGTGATTTTTTATGCCTTGTATTGTTCGTTCTCACTCAAGATTAATTAATAATCTAATAATAAAATTTTTGTAATAATTAGATTATCATGAACATAGTTCATCATATTTTTTTATATAATATAATTTGTCATATATCAGCTAAATGTCAGTAACCTCTAATTTTTTTTTGTCGCTCTAAATCATTTAAACACAACGAAATCACCCACATAATATTTTTATACCAAAAATAGATTTTCTATAGTTTTCAAACATTCTTAACTATTGCACTGCAAAGCAAAGAGTGTTTTCCGCGTTTCAGCGAAAGAACGACCTAATGATAGAGTCGGTCCGTTCAAATTTCTACGATGATAAAATAAAAGGTCGGGAGTCGAAGTTTTTCGTCGACAAATCGGTCGGAATGAAAAAGGTTCAACGGGAATCGTACGCTTTCCAAATATTACGCTCCACGGGCTACCAAATAATCGACGAAACGTTCAACGAAATCGAGAGACGAAGTATCCGAATAATAGACACGTTCCTCAGCAACAACGGCATTTATTTGTCTATACCGAAAAATTCACCCTATTTCGACTTGTTCTCGATCAGGTGCGTGATCCAAGAAACACATACATATTTAAAAATAAATAAATCGTAATTTTTAATTAATTTTGTATTTACGTTTTTTATTAATGACTTTTAGCAAATTTTGATCGGGATAAATTCTGCATCAAAAACAATATAAATTTACTGATTTCCAAAAAACATTGGACTAAGAAAGAGGAGCACATCAATACTCTATAAACTGTTAAATTTTTAACGAAGAAATATAATTAAAAATTGTTATTGCAAAGTAAACATAGTTTAGAATTTTAAAACTAACTAAAGTTTAGTTTATTTCATTACAATTCAAAGAGGTAATTTAATTAACTTGTGTTGTATTGTGTAGAACCCAACTTTCTCTAATAAAATTTTTCGATATATTTAAAGTTAACAATAATAAACAAATAAATTTAGTATAATATATTACAAAATTTATTTTATGTAGTGGTACTCTCTTTTTATTTATTTGTTGCTATTGTTTTTAGCTTATTAAAATTGGCAGAGAATGGGATGTGGCGAAGAGAACATGTCAGGCTTTACCCGCCTAAACCTATACCGGATTATTCCAGGAGCGTATTCGTTAGCATCGGACTCGAAGACATCTCGTTCGTGTTTCTCTGTCTCATCGTAGGCATGGTTGCCAGCTTAGCGATTTTTCTACTTGAGAACATTGTGCATTATCATCGAGCTTTGTGGCGGAGGATCTTCTAATGCGAAGTTTCAAAACCTTGATGAAAAATTTTTCGCTTGGATCACTTTTAGTCTGACAATTTGGAAGTTTTTTTGCATTTTTAGAATATCGTTAGTCAGATATTTGCTTCGCTTGGATAGACTTAGCGCTACACTAAAGCTGTGCAATAAAAATAAATAAATCACAATTTTCGCTGTTTAAATTAGTTTTTTTTTAGTTAATATAAGCGTTATTAGTGTTGAATATTATATCAGCCTTGAGAGAAAATCTGATCGTTATTATACAGGCTGACATCGTAGTTAGCTGAAATAGTATATTACGCAACAAGTGTGGTAAATGTTATTTGAGTCACGAGTTCATTTGGCACGAGCGGAGCGAGTGTTTAATAAACTCGGGACCTAAAAAATTTATCAAAGGATTGCATAGTACACTTTTTCGACGACCGTTAGTTTTTGGATAGTTTTCACTCCACTAAGACAATCATCATCACTTCTTCTTTAAATTTGTTCCGAGCTAAAAGTTTGAATTACACTAAAAACGTAAAAAATTCTCTTGATCTATTTTTTAAATTTTAATAATTTTTTTGAGCATTGCTTTTATTTTTTAAAGGAATACAAGCAAAAGATAATGGATATTATCTGATTCTTGTTAGTAACTACTATACGATTGTGTTCTATATCTTACTTTTTTTGTTCTTTTTGGCTCCTATTTATTTTTATATGATGTGTTTTTTAACGTAATTATTATAAATTTCATCTAATCGCATTTTTTTTGTATTTACAAGCGTTGTAGACATACTTTTATATTGTAAAACAGTTAAATAAAGAATCTATCTATCAAACAATCAACAAATACAAACTTGATGACATTAATGAGATGTTCTAATGGCTCGGCCATTTTTCAGCAGTAAGCAGCTATTAAAAATGCATAAAAACGCTGTCACTTGTGATATGACCAATTGCCTCGTAGCGTAATTGATTCTAAAAACAAGTATCAATCAGATAAGAGCGCATCAGTTAATTTAAACGAAACGATAAGTAGCAATCAGATAATATCGCAACGATTCATGGTAATTGTTCTCCGTTAAACAACTAATTAGTACGAACTTAATGACGTTAATGATATGCCCCAATGGGCAAGACATTTTTCCTTAATAATGACCAGACTTAGTTCTGCAATAAGGTTCTGGTCAACTAAAACACCATGACTAAAGTAATTGAAATCGTCCTGGTCCTCTTTTTAATTAAGTTTTGCGACCTATCGAAAGTGGCAACATTTTTAGCAGATTTTGTTAACAAGCAAGGATGCCCCGCCCACCTGCATCTGCTTTCGTGCATGAGCAAAGGTATAATTTCCAACCCCTTAGAATTGCATCTATATTCAATTGTGAGTTTTCAGCCGGCAGTGTAGAATTGGCAAACTTTATAGGGCGAACCAATATGGCCATGGCGTTTTTGAAAAACGGGTTTGATTTGGGGTCAAATCGCGAAATGGCTACCTTCGTGATGTACCCGAATTGTAGCGGATTTGGAAACGTTATGAAAGCAGTGAGTACGAAGAAAACAAAAAAAACACCATTTTTATTTCTTCTTACATTTTAGGCCCAAAATATTGGACTGTTTAATTCTTCTTTCTGTTGGATTATGTTCGCCGCAGAGTACGAGGTCGCAGGATATTTTTTCGGCTCCCATAGTAAAATTTTCTTAGTGAGCGAAACGCCACGCGGCTACAACGTAACTGCCATTTTCAAACATACTCCTCATTCTACTGACTTTCTGATAAACCGCGTCGGCCTTTGGACGTTCGAATGCGGTTTTCAAGATTTTCGAAAACTGACTTTCCCCGCAACCAGAATCGATCTCCAAGGACGCAAGCTCCGAGGGGCTTACTATTTTTCAGACACCAAAAGTCTGGACCATTTACACGACGATAGGTTCATGTACGTTTCATCCATGTCTATTACCTCGGAGTCTACAGGGAGCTGATTTTATGACAAACACTGTTCTTATTGAACATAAAAAAAACGTTTGCCTCACCTTTTTCAAAACTTGAAAATGATAAAATCAAATTTTAAATAGCGCTTGCAAGTCCTGATCTACGAGGAAGAATTGAAGACCTGGCGATTTGAAAAATTTGCCATATCTTCCTTAACTTGAAACATATTTCAATTGGATTTAAATAATAATAAGAAATTGTTTATTGTCCATTTTTACCTCAACATAACGCTAGATCTTAGTGAGCACAACATCATAATAACATTTGTCGTAGAGTTCATAACACTTAATTAAGCAGGAATTATGTTATGTAATTTATTTTCACCATATAGAAATGTTCGCTGCCTTATCCTTTCCTTTGCAAATGGTTGTTAAGTTTTTTTTTCGTTTTTTCTCTAGTAAAGTTGAAATGAGTTGTTGAATAATGACTTTTTTCCGCATACGAATCATAGTTATTGAACTGAGGTGGCTTTTACTTCATGAAAATCCATTTAGCAAAATAAATAAGAACTAAAAGTTCAGATTTTCACGAAATTATATATATTCACATGACAATTGTTTCGACAACACCGTGTCTTTGTCAAATGATAACATTGTCATATGAAATATATAATTTCGTGAAAATCTGAACTTTTAGTTCTTATTTATTTTGAATCATAATCATCAAAAAGCTGAGGGATACTGTCGGTCAAGTTGAAATATAAATTTCAGGACTCTCTTCTGAATAACCCCAGCTGATAATGCCGTATACTAAAAGTGACTGGACCAAGGCAAAGTATAAGGAAAGATTTTCTTTTATTGGAAGAATTTGTCTAGCTTGCTTAAAAATATATACTAGGGATCTGATTTTTTTAACTAGTGTTTGAATATGAATATCCTCAGGTGGTTGTCCAATATGTTTGACACTATTTCTTATTTCTATTTGCAACAATTCAGATCTCTGTATCAGGTAAACCTCAATATTGTTACTTGGTAATATTAAGGAGTTATTAGAAATGAGCACATACACAGTTTTTTGCATATTTATGGTAAGTAAGTGTGACTGTATCAACCGCAAATGATTCTTCAGTGCGCTAATATTTTTTTCAATTTCATCAATATCAAGTTTCTGATATTATTATGATTTTCTGAAAATTCAATGGTGGTGGTTTGGATTTTATTCGCTAACGTTCGTAGTTTTATAATATTTTTATAACTTTAAACAAATCTTTACGATCCCAATTTACATTTTTAAAATTACATTATATATCAAAAAATTATAGATATTAATATTTTAGCTTCTGACCTTAACGGTTTATTTTAGTTAAAAAATGTAATGAAGTGATATATATATTCTGCAACAAGTTTGATAAACGTCACTTTAGCCACGAGTTTGGTTTGGCACGAGCCGTGCAACAGTGTTTCCGGAAGCGATATCTTAAAGTGAAATTCTGGCTAGTTTATATTTTCAAAATGAAAATACCTTTCATATCAACGACGATATGGCAAATTTTAAAATCGCCGATGTTTTGACAGTAATACAAAATATTTACGAAAAAATATTATTAACATTTTTCAGATTATTTTTTGAATACTATCAACTGTAAAAAAATATTTTTCGAGTGATTTTAGGGTCTTGCTTTCATGATACAAGGTGTTAAATTTTGAAATAAATAGATAGTGATATTTATTATAGTAAGAAGCTAATATAACCACAATTGTATTAAGATTATTATTTGCATTTGTGTCTGGGAAGACACCATTCAATATTTCTGTACAAAAGAAAATTGTACTTTTTTTAAACAAAAAATTGTCGAGTGTTTTGCTGTTAGATTTTTATTTTGCGTTTTATGCCTGGATTTAATTTTGGTGCTTAACCCTAAACCATGACGTACTTAAAACTTTGGTGACGACATACGGAAATTTCAGTGAATTTTATACCGACCACGTGACGAAAGTCAACCATATCTTATTGGTGATCCTTACGGACTACCTCAACGCCACTTACGTTCCGCTATACACTTCCCGTATTTCGCAATGGTCATTGTTTTTCCACCTTAATAATGGAGACGCAGATATTTCAGGTACCAAGCTTGGGAAATACCATCTCGCGAGGCTATATTTCATATTTAAACTTCAGGCATGTCTACCGTCATGACCGAAAGCAACTGGAACGAGCTGAAATTCGTAGGACCGACAGCCAAAGACGAAGTCTCGTTGATTTTAAAAACGCCAGCTCTGTCGACCATGCGAAATATATACTCGATGCCGCTGAGCGACGCTTCCTGGTACTGCCTGGCGGCCATTTTGGGCGTCGCCACCATCAATTTGTACTGCATCGCGGTGTCGCAAAAACGTTTGGCCATGGCTGACGGCAGGTACTATAGAAAATGCTACAATCCATCGCTATTCATCTTACACAGTGAAGGTTCCAGATGCAAGAGAGTGGCAGAGACATCCATCATGTATTATTTCTTTGAATATGGTGGACAATTTCTCAGTATTGAAACTGAAAGAATTTTAAGCTTCTATATGCTAGTTTCAGCTGTTAATCCGTGATCGAGTTGTTCAATCAACGCTTAGGTTACTAAAAACTAATATTTGCTATAAAGAGAGATTTTTTTAATTTGGGCTTTTTTAAGTGAGGTTCCCTGAGGACAAAAGTTATACGATTTTTTCTCTATTATCTCTTATAGTATAGTCTTCAAGGACTACAAAAATTAATAGATAGGGTGACTGAGGCTAGCTCACAGTACAGGTTCGAAATGAATATAAACAAAACCAAAATCCTTCCCCTATCTTATTTAACGTGTACTCAGAATACATCTTAGAGAGATTTTTTAAATTTGGGCTTTTTCCAGTGAGGTTCCCTGAGGACAAAAGTTGTATGATTTTTTCTCTATTATCTTCAAAAAATTTAAACATAATTATAAATTTGTAATGGAACCAGACGGCAGTTGTAAGATTTGACGGCGGGCACACAGAACAAATAAAAATATTGCGAGGGGTAAAGCAGGTAAGATTCTCTCCCCTATCTCATTTAACGTGTACTCAGAATACATCTTTAGAGAGACACTTGATAGTACACAAGAAGGAATAACCATAAATGGTGCTAAACTAAATAACATAACTACGCAGATGACACTATAATGTTTGCAGATAGGCTTCAAGGATTACAAAAGCTAATGGATAGGGTCACTGAGGCTAGCTCACCTCACAGTACGGGTTGGAAATCAATATAAACAAAACCAAACTCTGAAAGAGACATCACAGAAGACAATTTATACATCAACCAGAATAGAATACAAAGAGTAAAGCAGTGCACATACTTGGGGACAACTATAAATGAGAATTTGAGACAACTCTCCAGAAATATGATGTCGCATCGAGAAGACCCGCTCAAAATGAGCTCGCTTTTTAAGAGTCACAATCTGTCGTCACACATAAAACTCAGACTGTTGCCAACGCCGTCTCGTATGACGTAGAAACTTGAACACTCACTAAAGAAACCACCAAGACATTGGAAGGATTCGAACTATGGCTGGAATCTTGAAAATATCTTGGACACAAAAAAAATTACCAACATAGAAGTATTGTGTATCTTGGTCACATAATGAGGAACCCAGACAGACATGGGTTATTACAACAAATCCTCCAAGGTAAAATTAACAGCAAGAGAGCATGGGGTCGAAGGAGAATATCTTGGTTAGTAAACTTTTCCGAATTGCCATCAACAAAGTAAAAATAGAACAGAACGGATAGGCACTTGGAGAAGAAGAATCTTCTAAAATGATTTTTGACGTTTGCAAAGCATATGGCAAATATTAAAAACTTTTTAGCAACCCAAATGTGGGTTGTTGGGTTCAACTATTGTAATTTTGTTGCGATTCAGTGCTGGATGTATGTACGAGATTAGCGCCAAAATTTCCCGGCCTGACATAGATGCAGCTCCGGTATCAGTCTTCTTTTAAATATATATCTTAGTAGGCTGCGAAAAAAAATTTAAGTCTTGCGTCTAATAGTTTTTTATTGACAGTATTTTAAACAAGACGTGTCCGAAAAAATGTCGCAAATAACGCAAATTGAGTATAGAGTCATAAAGTTTTTGACAAAAGAAGGGTTAGCACCTAAAATTAGTAAAGAAAGGCTGGATAGTGTGTACGGCCAAAGGTCTCCTTCGTATTCTGTAGTGAAATAATGGCCAAAACGTTTTCAAATGGGGCAGCAGTCCCTTGAAGATGATTCAAGAACTGGTCGATCAGTGGAAGTCATAACGGAAGATATCGTTGCGATTGTGGAAGAGGTGGTATTGAGTAATCGACGTTTAAAGGTCAAGGAAATCTCAGAAATTACTAAGCTTTCTGATACAAGTGTTCGTCGAATCTTGCATGATAATTTAGGTATGCATAAGGTTAGGGCAAGATGGGTCTTTTTTGGAACTCTGTGGGTCGAAACCGAAGCCTGTGATAGAAATTATTGTGACGGAAGATGAAACTATGGTTCTCTATTACGACCCTCTCTCAAAAAAAGAATCAATGGAGTAGCGTCGTAAGGGTGAAGCACCTCCAAGAAAATTTAGAGTCTGCCAGTCAACGAAAAAGGTGATGGCCACGATCTTTTGGGATTGTGAAGGAATTCTTTTGACAGATTTTAAAAAATACCACTGTCAATGGTAAATATTATCGATTTAGCTTTGAGGATTCGCATTCTAAAATGCTATGTCTTTAGTGTGCTCATGTATGGGGCCGAATCGTGGACGCTGACCGAAACCATGTGCAGAAGACTGGAGGCTTTCGAAATGTGGACATACAGACGCATGCTGCGAGTCTCGTGGGTTGACAGAGTCCGAAATATAGACATATTAAATCAACTAAACAAACAAACAGAAGTCATACACACTATCAAAAAGAGAAAACTAGAATATTTTGGACATATTCTACGCAACAAGTACCAAATACTCCAACTCATTATGCAGGGCAAGATAGATGGTAGGAGAGGCCCAGGCCGTCGCAGAACTTCCTGGTTGAAGAATCTGCGGCAGTGGTATGGTGTTAGCGCCAGGACACTTTTTAGAAGAGCGGTGGACAAAGTCCAGATTGCGCTGATGATCGCCAACGTTCGATAGGACAAGGCACGCTAAGAAGAAGAATGGTAAATATTACGCAACATTATTACATAAATTGTGAGACTGCATAAGTGAAAAACGTCGAGAAAAACTGACCAGAGGCGTGCGTCTTTTGCACGATAATACACCTGTCCATAGTGCTGGTGTTGCACAAGTTGCCTTTTTAGAGTGTGGGTTCCAGCAGATAGATCATCCTCCCTATAGTCGAGATATGGCCCCCAGCGACTATTTTTTGTTTAGATATTTGAAAAAAGACTTACGTGGACGGCGGTTTAATGACGAAGTTGAGTTAAAAGAAGGTGTTTTAGCTCATTTTGCAGACAAACCAAATAAATATTTTTGTAAAGTGATTGAGTTGTTAATAAAGAGATGTAAAAGTGTATTGAAGTTAAGGGGGATTATATTGAAAAATAATAAAAAATTGTTACTCTACTTTGTTTCTTTCATATTCAGGCCGGGAAATCTTGGCGCTGCCCTCGTATTAGGTTTGTCATGGTTTTAGGAAACTTGATCATAATGATGAGCATTTTGCGACTTTTATAAATGTAGTAAATATTTTGTATTTAACTTCTATCGTAAGTCCGTTTCATTTGCAGGTCGAATCTGACCTTATCAGACGTGATAATGTTCCAACTGTCGGCCTTATTCTCGAAAAGTTTCGACAAAGAGTTCGAAAACGTTTCCGGAAAAATCGCCTCCGGATTCTTATATGTCACTTTGATGATCATCAGCGTGTTCTATTCCGCTAGTATAGTGGTATTCCTGCAGGCGACCAAAGAAGTCAACGACATTAGCACGCTAGCACGTTTGGATATAAAACAGAGCACGTTTGATGATGCGGTCGACAACACTCGACTCGCTATGCCGAAACGTTTTCTCGGCGATTCGGAAAGGGAGGGGATAAGACGGGTACGAGATGGCGGTTTTGCCTACAAAACGCGTGCATCGTTGGCGTACTATTTGATCCAAAAGTCGTTCGAGGAGTACGAAAAGTGCTCGATAACAGCGATCGACACGTCTCCTTACAGGAACGAACCTTATTTGCCGGTTCCCAGGAATTCCTGCTTAATGGAACATTTCCAAGTGGGGTAATTTTCGTGCTGCCATAACCATATAGATATAGTGCATGTTAGTGGGCGAAGTGAAGCGAATTTTACAGCAGAATAAGACGGTTGGTAATGGGGATTGTTGTCTTTTTCTTGCTCGTTTGTATAATCGGTATAACACGATGTTCTCTTTCTTTGACTACTAATCATTATACCGAGTGGCAACTTGGCAATTTGGCAATTTGCTATGTTGATTGGGTGGAATATTGTGAACATTTGCCGCATAAAAACAATGAAATGTCATACTATATTCAAAACTGGATTCCTCCTGCGTTGGGTGTTGTTGAATTGAAAACTGAAAAAGCTTCAGTTAAGCTCTGAAGAAGCCAACCGGATGATTGGCGAAACTTCGGCAAATTCGAATCAACAACAACCGACGCAGAAGCAATCCAGAAGTTTTGTAAACAGTAGGAAGTATCTTTGAAATTGAATGTCGTTTCCGGTTTCGACCTAACCTCAACTTTGTTATTTTAAATGGAACTTAACAAATTTTGTATAACATACTCCGTGTCTAAAATAATATTTTTTGAAATACAGCGATAAAACGTATTTGATAATTGTACCCCATTTTTATGGTTTTACGGCGTACCTTAGTCACTAACAAAGCTAGGGTTTCGCTGCTTTTGTGACTCAAAGACTGTTTCCTATTAATATGATTCAATTTAATTTTTTATTCAATAATTTGACGAGTTATTTACATATTTATAAAACACAATCAGAATATGTAATATGCAATAGGTGCAGATGTTTTACCTACCAATAAAAAAAGACTTCCTTTTTCCGATTTTAGGTATATGCCGAAATTACTGCATCCATTGGCAGCACAAGAATTCATCATCATCATAGTAGGATGTACATATACAAAGTTGTCACCGTCAAATATCAAAATATATCGCAACGAATTGAAATGATTTCCCAAAAACCCCAAACAGTTAGAAATATTAAGAATTAATATAGAGCAATGTCTTATTATAGTTATCTGCTTTTCGTATTAACGTACACGACAAAGACATCAGTTCCTTTTGTTATCCGTGTCGCGTTAAATAAAATTTTCCTCACTAAATCCGTATTGGCTTCATTTCATTCCATTTCGATAGCTGGAGTTGTGGAGTTGACTGCGCTATGATTAACATTTGTTAAGTGGCCATTGTTACAGTAGTATCATCAAAATTTTCAACATAACCTCTTATTTTCAAAGCGATAACTAATTAGTCAGAAAGCAAAGCAACTTCGACAACCGACCTGGGAGGATTAAAGAATATTTGTAAATAGTAAAGCGGTAACCTTTTATCCTATTTGATTTTGATAAAGGTTTTAACGAGAAAATTTGAAGAAAATATTGTAGCCAAAAGGTAACAAAAAAATTAACTACCCGGCACCTTTCACGGTTCTATTATCTAAGCATATATACTAACTAACCAAAAATTTAACATACGTTAATCTTAGAAATATGCCCACAGATGAATTTAAGTGTTCTGTGAAGTTTATTTAAAGAAAAAATATTAGCCTTTGGAAATAGTACTTAGATTAGCATTTATTAAAATTTACCCAATCAATCAGTTTCTCTGAACTAGCAACTCCATTGAAAAATATTTTAAAATGCTCGTAAAAAGACAACACAACGTGCCTATAGTCTGTCTCAATCTTCATCGTGCTGGCTTTTGTCCGCAATTATGGAAGTTACCTGCCGATGGCAATAAAACGATTACTCTACACTGCCACAAATGGTCAACACTCAATAAATATATCAGAAAGAAATAAATATACCCGGCCAATCCCTGCCTTGTCACTCAAGTAATAATTTTTTTTTGTTAATGGCTCTACCCAGAACAATAGGTAATAACAGCGTTAAAATATTATTGGGAAGGGTCTATCCAAAGCCAACACAATGAAGATAGAGACTGACTACACAAAAAGGAACACAACCATCCATTATAAAATAAATTTGAGAAAACATCATAGTAACATTAATGGTCGGTTGTAGCAAGCACGAACGAAGCGGAAGCTACCATTAAAATGGCGACTTGCATGTACCAGGTGGCCCAGTAATAAAGGACGGCGACCATCTCTGGAACCGTTAGCTCAACAACTTAGAAAAAAATATATTTATATCTAAATCGGGCAAGAGAGAAAGGTGGAAATTATCTACTGATAATCTAATCTACTCTAGATAAGGAAACTTTTTTTTAACTATTTTTTTCTATCTCGTCAAATTTAGGATAGGAAGGAATTGGTTTATTAAAAGTTGAATAACTTTTTTTAGCTAATCCGATTTGGACAAACTTAGTTTAGCTTTTAAAGAGCTTTTAAAGATATGTCAATATCGGGATATTAATTCTTTTAGGAATCGGTAGGAGGCGCTTCATTTCAAAAACAACTATTTTTATGATTTTCTCGAAAATTTTAAATGTAATGGTGCAAAAAGCACAGAACGTAGTGGAAACGGCATGGCAATATCCTTTTTCGCCTTTGAGGTATAAATAAAAATGTGTTCATTAAACATATTTTTCAACACTAGCACATTAATAGTACAAGAAACGATAGACGTGACGTGGGATGCTTATATTTTCTACTAGAGTTAAATTTGATTTTGTCTTAATTTTTCCATAATAATCGCCAATAATCAATAATAGTTAAAAAATGAATCGTCAATATAATTTATTAATATATTACATGTATTGTCAATACTGTTGAAAGGGTAAAATATCTAAGTAACACAGAATGCACATTACATCCGTTCAAAATGCCTTTAAAGAACGAAATCGCTTTCTATTTGCTTGCGGTGTATTTTGAATGCATGCAGAATGCAACTATTGCTGCAAGAGTCTAGATTATATATCCCGAGAGGCGCAGGTATACCAGAAGGGTTTTTGAGAGATTGGCACGAAGATTGAGAACCAGCTCAAATATTCATCGCCATTAATGAATTTGTTTTGTGTTTAGTTGGGTTTTGTTTAGTGTTGGTATTTTGTTTAGTGTTAGGTTTTGTTTGAATTAAAATAAGTTTATAGAGTTCATGGCGTCAGAAATCATAAACCAGAACCCAGCCCAGACAGCAATTTGTTGTGGTATTTCTGAATAATTCCTTCTAATCTAATTTACTCTCATTTATGTTTTAAATATAAAATAAAATAAAAGTAGTATCGATTTTTTACTATAAATTCTCATCCCGTCATAATATGTCATCTCTAATACTGCATCTCATATACCTACATAAAAAGTATTTTTAAATTAATTTTTATTTATATCTCGGAGGAGAAAAACGATATTGCCATGTCGTTTCTACTACTTGTTGTGTTTTTTTACGCTCTTTCATCCTAGTTAAAAATATTTATACCATTATATTCGAAATTTTCGAGAAAATCATAAAAATAGCTTGGACATGAAGCGCCTCCTACCGAATCGTAAAAGAATTAATATCATGATATTGACATGTCAGTCGAAGCTCCTATAAATGCTCTTTAAAACTAAACTAAGTTCGTCGAAATCGGATTAGCCAAAAAAAAGTTAATCAACTTTTTCTAAACCAATATTTGACTCTTCCCGCATCCTTAATTTGACGAGATAGAAAAAAATAGTTCAGACAAAAAAGTTCCCTTATCTAGAGTAGATTACGTTGAAACTAATTTTGTTATAGTTTCATTTGGAATATTTTTGAGAAAACCCGTTTGTTTCTATTTTACCGTAGAGGTTACGCCCCTAGCGGACATTTTTTGAACCTGATAATAATTTCCAGCTTTTTCTCTTTGCCGATTTACCTACAAATATTTTATTTTCTAAGTTAGGTTCCTAAGATATGTCCGGCGTCCTTTACTTATGGCCCACCCAGTAACCTAAAGGCGAGTGTAGTTTCAGAAGAATGTTCGAGCATGGCCTTCATAGACGAGAGTACGACAGGTTCTTCACCAAAAAGCCGAAATGTCGCGAACACGTCATCAGCAATTACAGCGGTACCGGTATTACGGAAACGTCGTTCATATTCGTCGCGTACATTTTGGGAGCCAGTTTCAGCGTATGTTTGTTCGTAATCGAGAAATTAATACGTTATTACAAGGAAAACATGAACGACGATGTCATTAAACCATTTGTGGAATAAATTTATTATTCATTAATATTCGAAACCCAAGAAAAGTTGCTTTTTTATTAATTAATTTTAATTAATAGTAAATTCGTTGAAATGATGAAATTCTTCATGAAGTTCTGGACTGGTTTACACTGGTACAAAGTGTCATCTACCAACTAGTAGTATTTAGAGATTATGTTTAAGTGTTTTTGTTGTTTTGCAGCTGAGTTTATTCACAATAGTCGTAATTTAGTTTTTCTAGCTTAGTTTTAGTATAGTCTAGTAAATGTTTAAACTCCTTGTTTGTTTTTTTTCTCAATTCAATGGGCGTCTTTATTTAGACCGCTGCCCAGGTTTTCTCCATATATTAACGAGTAAATTAGGCAATTTCTTGCCAGTCGTTAAAGTCGGACAAACACAATGGCACCCAAGGCTCCCATTGGGAATCGAACCCACAACTTCCGGCAAGCCGAGCTGGCAGGTGTAATGCCGACCCATCCTCGGTCCCTCCCTGTCTGTTCTACAGAAAACAACTTAAAATTATACAAGAATTAGCCTTGTCGTTATCATTATTCGTAATATTTTTTTGCTACCGAAAGTGAGAGAAAATATTCAGGAATAAAATTAGTTTAAGGATAGGACCCTGAATCGTTCGAGGATGTCAGAAGAGAGATTTTATAAAATAATTAATCGTGTGAAACACTAGATAGAGAAAATGAACACAAATAACTAACTAATAAATAATAAATAAATAAAAACTAAAATTTCTATCGTATCCTAATATACTTTCGAATGTGAGAGTCCACTTTTTTCTTATTCCTACTACAAGTGTGTAGAGTAATACATGATACTTTCTAGGACGCTCTGAGGAAACCAGTTAAGTGTGTGGAAATCGCTGTTTAGAAAGAAAATGGCGCAAAGTGCAGGTTAGAGGGTGAAGAATCACTACTTCCTCTACGAAAATATCAATGCCGCCTATGAGCATTAATTTTTACCGTAATGAGGCTATTATATACTATACCGATGATGCAGGAACTGAAGCAACTATGAAAAAAAAAATTCATTCAATATGCGCATGAACGAGATTGAAAATATCGTTTTCAACCAAATAATCTTGCGGCATTCGACAACCAACATGGCCGCTGACAGATCGTCAATAAGTTTGGATGCGTCATTTTTAAGGCAGTATTTTCTCGTTAAATGATTTTTGAAAACATGTTAAGTATGTGGAAATAGCTGTACCGTAGTAGGGCTACTATATTATCTAATAGCTATGTTTATAATAATACCATATCCTTGCTTTTTGATTTATTTCAATTATTAGTATTTGGTGGGTAATCCGTCAAAATTATCCAACGTTGCACATTTTTTTGTATTATTGAACATGTTGTGCATTTCAAACTTGAATAACCTATTTACGATTAGCTACGAAAAATGGTAGACGGCATACGGTAAAATGAAGGTTATCTATCAGTATATTAAGCAAGTAAAATAATTTATCAATCAAATATTAAAACTGAATGTTTAAAATTAAAATTTTATTATACTTAATTATTTGCATTGGATGTCTGTTTAAATTAATTAATTATAATTCAAAAAAAACTATTTGGTATTTTTGGATTCCGCAGGATTTAAAGAATTTTGATGTTTATAGATATGCTTATAGATTTTTGATTTATGGATTTGCCAAGTAAAGACCGCTTATAATATTAGCACAATATTAAGCAACGGGTTTGATGAATGACACGTTTGTTTTGCCACGAGCGGAGCGCAGCCATGCAAGTTTTTAATAAACGAGTGAGTTTCTAGGGTACATTTTTGCAAAACAGTATGAATACGTACACTGAATGACGTAATCATCATAACTGCCAAACATTAAAATATCGTCAATATCCAAAATGTACCGAAAACATCCGATCGCTTCACAATCAGTGACTAAAGTACCGGAAACTCCCGAAGTGGCTCAGGGCAGTGTTCAACCAAGATAATGTCTTAAAGTGACACTTTGCGCTAATAAGTGCAGAATTAGTGTTGTTATTTTAGAGTAGCGAGTATAAAAAAAATGTACCTATATCAATGAATTACGCATTAATTAGAGTATCTCTATGATGTCGAAAAGGAAGCAGTTTCAGTCAAGCTCTGAAGAAGCCAACAGGATGATTGGCGAAACGTCAGCAATTTCGACTAAGCAAAAACCGACGCAGGAGAAATCCAGAAGTTTTGTAAAAAGCAGGAAGCAAGTTGAATAAAAGATCTGAAGTTTTTGAGCTTCGTTAATTTCTGAAAAGAGAAAATTTTATATGATACATTTAACAATTATCCTTGTGTTGCCTTTTTTTAGTCAAAACAGTAACCAACAATTTGAAGGTTGCAATCCATTCCGAACGAAAAATCCTTGCGCCGATTCCTGTATGCGTTGAACAAGTCCCTAATGCGTTCGAAATTTAGAATTATTAACAGAGAATTTTTCATCCAGAGTGCTACTTTTATACACCGCGAACAGTCAATTTACTAATGCACAATTTCATTGATTGAGAGCTGAATCACAAATAAAATGTACTACACCCCTAAAATTCGTCAATCACGATAAGTAATGTCATGCCTTAATTTATTAAACCACCAAAATCAAGGCCTACTATCCTGTTGTAGGAAAAATTTGTTGTTGAATAACAGAAAGAGAAAATAAATATTGTGTTGTGAACTGGGTTTATTTTATTATTTTCGAACCACCTAGACGCCAGATTTCAACGGAGTGTAAAACTTCGCATACTTTTGTACAAGTCCAAAACTGTCAACAATTTTTTTTATATAAGCTCTAGAGTGTTATGATTTTTTTTTACTTTTTGGTGCTAAAGTCACTAAATAGGGTTTTTTCCACTTATTGATTTGATTGGATTTGACATTGGTCGAAATTTCACCCATTTGACTTCACTTAGGTATACAGGTACAGGGTGAGCCAAATTGGGTAACCTTTAAAACAAATGTCGGTGTCTGGACCTCAGTATTTGTGGAACATTTAATGGTAAAAGCATCTCATGGGTATCTAGTACTAGCTATAGTGTGCTTTCGAAAAATGTGCATTTCTAAAAAATCGCTGTCGCTTTTTTGTTAATGAAAATGTTGTGTTTGTATGAACACATGTCTAAAACAACAGAAGTTAATGGTTTCAGTATAACATTTTTAAAACTAATTGTTTATTAGTTATCAATCAAACATTTTATTTATTAATAGGGGACGTCCTGTGCATTTTTAAATCATTGAAAAGTACTTGAAATTACCTTTTCCAACGCTTAATATTTTGATCGACAGTTTTCTGCAAGTAGGCCTTGGACGGAGCGGTTATAATACCGGAAAGAACTGCGTAGTTTAGGTTACTTGTCAAATAAATCAAATATTATAGTCGGTTTTACAACATTCGAGAAGAATGCAAGCAGAGGAAGCCGTACTACGACCAATTTCCTGAAAGGAAACCTTTCAAAACCGTTTTCGGAAGATTGCGATTTAACCTAATTATAATATAGTTTTGAGAACTGGCCAAAAAACTTCAAGGAAGCAGTGGTTGAGGAGTCGACAAAAATAATTTTACGTCAATATAAAAGTTAAAATGTACACTAGTAAGAACTAGCGCTTAATACCAAATATTAGATACCAGAAAAGTGATTCTTAGAAAAATGTAACCGAGTACGTAATTTCCGTTGATTTATTGAAATTTATTTCTAGCGTCTTTACCAGCAAAATCAGAATTTGGCCACCTATTTGCCAAAACTTCTATTTTTTCGAAAAAAGCTCCAAAGTAAAGTATCAAATATCAATATTGTTAAATGATCCGAAAATATACGGGATGTCCACCTTGTCTTATATAAAAACTAATAATAATAATTAATACAATATTAGTATCAAAATTATAGAAACGCCAGATTTTCCATAACAAATAACTTACAGCGTACCTAGATATCTTTTTTTTTTCTATCTGCTATAGAAAGGGGAGTTTCGCTTTGCAAAGTGTCCAATTTGGCCAACCTGTACACCCGCTTTTTCATAAATATTATATCACATAAGTTTAATAAGAACTATTTTGGTCACGAGTTTGATTTGGCACGAACGAGCAAGTTCTTAATATACGAGTCTCTGAAAAAGTTTACCAACCTGTTGCATACTAAAATGTTTCTCCTAAAATTTATTTTTGGGTACACTGTGTGATGTGTGAGGCGACTATGAAAACGGCCAATCATCAAAATCCGTTTCTACACAACACAAACACGTGACTAAAGTTTTTAAACGCCTAGCAATAGTACTTAAAGAAGCTACCGGCTTAAATTAAGGAGTAGAAAAACTTACTTACCAAAGTTTAGGACAGACTAACCAATATTCTATGGAAATAAAAATAATTTATCGAAGAATTGTATAAAAAACATCTTTTATTTTTCTTTTTTTGTATTTATTGGTTAACAAAACGTCAGGCATTGTTCCGAGGGCCAAAAAGTTCGCGCCGCGGATCAACCGTGATTGTTCGTATTTTATTGCACCGATTAAATCGAACCTACCCACCCACATCGCCCAGTGTGGAAGGAGAAACGAGCCTCACCATCGCGTAATAACAACAGAAACATTCTTGGAAATATTTTTCGTATTTAACGTTCTCTTTGCTCGCGTTCCGACGCAGTATTGACCAATCTTTCGCTGAAGATGTTGGTCGCGAAAGTGTTTGTCGTGCTCGTGTGCGCGGCCACAACTGTCAAGGCCATTGCCAAATTGGAAGAGGTATTCGCATGGAAACAGGTGACTTTTACTTGGCCTAGCGCTGAAACTGAAAAAATCGCCAAAGAAGAAGGCGACTACGAGCCGAAGAACAACTTGCCCTTGGGATTGGCTAGGTGGAAGGATAAGCTGTTCGTTACCGTGCCTAGGTAGGTCCTCTGGGTGATGAAATACGAATTTTCATCACCAAAAGGAAGGTTCTCCAGAAGGTTTTGGTGATCTTGAGTTAATTTAAATGAAAAATTAAAAACGATCATTGTGGTGTTAAGTACTAATACCATACTCCATCTTATTCTGTTATTATATGGATTTTTATCGCGCCAGTGTGCAATATATCGGAAACAATCTGATCGGTTAATTTGGTCAGTTTTTAAAATAAAAATTATGCTTTTTGAATTGAATGGGAAGTTGTCCTTAAAATCGAAGAAAGAAATTTATGATTGCATAAATTATATTAATTATAATTGATAATATTATAATTATAATTAATTATAATTATAATTAATTAAATTTTAAAAAAATGCTTAGGAAATTATGCTTTTTTCGTATTTGGGCATAACTTTCAATTCTAAGCCACTTCTCCTAATACCTTTGTGCTGAATTGTTTATATTTCAACCTACCCTGTGTAACGCTTGATTTGGAACCATACTAAATGCACTTAAAATGGTTGTCGAACGTGTATCAACTTTGAAACATATGGGAACGGATCTGATTAAATTGTGGAGTTTTTTAAACATTTAAAATAAAGATTTTTGCGCTTTGAATTTAGGGAGAATTGTTGAATAATTTTAAACTTGTGCTTAAGATTGTTGCAACAAACTTTTGTGGTTGTCTAAATATTTTTAAATAGAATTAATAAATATTAAATATTAAAAAAAATGTTCAAATTGCTCACTAAAAAAAAACTTCCAATTCTAAGCAACATATCTTAATACAATTTTATGACCTACCCTGTATAACGCTTAACTTGAAAACATTCTAAACGCACTTAAAAAACGCCAAACGTGAACCAACTTTCGACAATAATTTTATTTTGGTGTCACTTGAGTGTGCAACATACGGGAACAAATCTCATTAATTTGTGAAGTTTTTTAATACACATATTTTGCGCTTTGAATTTAAGGAGAATTGTTTAATAATTTTAAGATTGTTGCACCAAACATGAAATTTGTGGTTGTCTAAATATTTTTCGATATAATTAATAAATATTAAATACAAAAAAATTGTCCAAATTGCTCACTTAATAAATGCTTAAGAAGCCCAGTTTTAGCATTTGAGCATAACTTTCATTTCTAAGCAACTTTTCCAAATAACTTTCGACAATAATTTTATTTTTGTGTCACTTGAGTGTGGGACATATGAGACGAATCTGGTTGATTCATTTGTGCAGATTTTTATTGAAAAATATTTAAACTAAATATTTGGCTCTTTCAATTTGAGGAGAATTGTTTCGAAATTTTAAAGTAGTGCTTAACATTGTTTTTCTAACGTTTTCTTAAATAAAAAGAAAAACCTTTGCTAAGGAACTATGGTTTGGTTTTTAGTCATCTTTCAATTTTACGGAACTTTTACCAATAGATTTTTGCTGAATTTTTAAGCTGCAATTTTTATATTGTATATCCTATCTGCATACCGTTACATTGAAACTTGAACATGCATGCAAACTTTTGACAATATTGATATTTTGATAGAGCAACTGATAAAAAAAATTCTATATTTTTAACACTTAAGTGACCACAGTTATACTTATGGCTACTTAATCATGCAAATTTTGAATGAAATCTTATTGGTGTATCATTTTTTATATTTAGCTACTAAAATTGTTAAATGGATAATATATATAAATAATATATATATAAATAAAATATTACATCCGACCTTTAAAAATAGGTATTTTCATTTTATGATACAGTAAATTTTTAGACGTAATTAGAAGCTACTTCAATACACTGCAAACCGTTTTCTGCCAATTTAGTAGTACTAACTAAACCAAACTAACCTTGGTTAGTTAGTAAAATATAAAAAAAGTTGCAGATTCGTATTTATATGTTTTGGAACAAAATCAGGAAAAAAATCCCCCATTTTTTTTTATTTCTACGAAATCTTCATTCGAGTATTCTCAAATATTCAAGGCAAGTCTAAACTTAACACCAAAATGCATAACCCTGCATGCATTTGCAGCTACTGAAAGGGCAAAAGCAAGAAGCAAACTTGACACTGTGCATATGTGATTTTTATCGCAATTTTGTGTAAAACTAAGAAAACTTTATTAATGTATTAATCTAATTGTTTTAATTTTAGGAGGAATAGTCAAATTAAAAGTTCAGATTTTCACGAAATTAGATATATTCACATGACAATTATTTCGACAACACTATGTCTTTATCAAAACATTTGATAAAGGCACGGTGTTGTCGAAACAATTGTCATGTCATAATATATAATTTCGTGAAACTCTGAACTTTCAGTTCTTATTTATTGTGTTAAATAGATTCTCATCAAGTAAAAGCCACCACCACAGTGGTGTACTTAAATTTGAAAAAATGACCAAAAACAATTTAGAAAAACATTTCATTATGTCAGTTATAAAAATTTATAATTTTTAAGTTTTTATACCACACCCAAAACACGTGAGATCAAACTTGCTCATTGGGTCGTGAAACGCGTAAATATGGGCCAGGAAATAGTCTAAATTAGAAAAAAAAACTATTCGGGCGAGACGAAGGTTTTTCGATTGCCCGAAATCCGTTCAAAGTCACAAAAGCCCTTCACGGTTGTAAATACGTGCGTGTAATGCTTTCGGTTGTCCAAATACGCGACAACAATGGGGCCGACGACAAAACTGGAAAAAATGATTTTCCATTCTGATTGCTGGTTCCGAATCACGCGGTTCTTGCGGCGGAAATCTCAAGGTCACCGTCGATCATCGTCCTTTCACTCCAGTTAGTAGTTAATTACACCTGTTTATGTATACTTGGACAGGCGTATCGCAATTTGTTAAATACGTATTGTAATTGAATAAAAAGGTGCTATATTGATATTAACGACTATTAATTTAAGGATGAAGCTATTTAAAAATAACGCAGAAGAAAAAATATCTTTAACTTTGGTACTAGCAGGTTATTTTAATTAAAAACAAGTTTTTGAAGTATTCTTTTTAAAATTTTAAAATTCAGTCAAATTTAATGCACTTAACGTAAGTTCGCTATATCTTTCACATTTTCCCTTTAATTTTATTGTTCTTTATTGTTCAAAAATTTGATCATTATTAAAAGAAATATAAAATTTTATTTAAAGTATATCTAAAAAATCATACCTTTGTGGACCGATATATAAAATTTTTATCTTAAAAATCAAACCTTTGCAAGTAATTGATAGACACTAAAGTTGGAAAATATTACTTAGTGTCAGAAAGATTGTTGGAACCGATTTATAACACGGTATAGATGATTATTATTATACTTATATTATACGTGTTAGCAGATTTACTGCAGAAAATACAGCTAAATAAGGGGAACAGTTTGATGGTAAACACTTTTTTATTTTACAGTTTATTTATTATTATTTTATTCAATTTACTGGGTAATTCAAAAAACATTTGTTTGTTTAATAAAATTGTGTCCGGAAATACCCCATCTAGAAGGCTCTGGAACAGGGGTCCTAAAAATCCCATTAAAAAAAAAATTGTTATTTGCATTTTAAGATATCAAAATGAAATTTAGACCACAAATATTTTTTAAGTTAATTAATTTAAGTTTCAAATAATTTAAAATATTTTTAAACTTTAAACCTTGTGATTTCTAGCAAACATGGTATAGAATATTTGAATTACACCTAGCAGTAAATTTGCATGTACCACAAAAAGTACACCAAAATAAGGGAAAACCCCCTTTTTTTATTTTACAATTTTTGACCCGAAATTCTGTATTCTGTTTTTATCTCGATTTAACGTATGTACTGGTTATTTCAAAAAACATTTGTTTGCTTAATAAGGGCTTTGTAAAAGTGGCCCCAAAAATCTAATTTTTTAAAAATTTTTATTGAAGCGGTTTAAGATACCTGAATGAAAATTTAGACCACAATCATAGAAGTTACTGCTGATAACATTTAAGTTGACAATAATTTAAAATATTTTTGCTTTATGGTTTTGGTTTTGGTTTGGGAGCAAAATCGCGACGCTCCTGTACAAAATATTAAAATTTTGTAAGCAGGTATTCGTGGTCCAAATTTTATTTAGGTATCTTAAAACATTTCAAAAATTTAGGTTTTGGGGCCCTTTTATCTTCTCAAGGAGAGCATTTTCGGACATCTTTGTTAACCAAATTGACGGCATTTTTTAATATTCTATTTACCCTAGAAAGTAGCACAACCAATATTATGGAGTTATTAAAATTGAATAAAATAAAATAAAATAAATTTCCAGGTGAATTTATTATAACTTCAGCCTACTTATTGTTCCAATTTTAATTGCAAAATTTGGTCCTTTAACTATATTAATCTATTTATATTAATAAATATATTAATAAAATTTACTCAAATATGCACATTTCACGTCAAATACATTTTAGATGGAAATCTGGTGTGGCAGCGACATTGGGTTACGTCTCTTTGAACGAGCCGATCAACAAGACCGCCGCCATCACTCCATACCCCGATTGGAAGGCGCATATTTTGCCGAAAAATGACTCCAAACCAGACCCCAACACTTTGGTGTCAATATTCAGGTACGAAACGGTTTTTTCTCGCTAGTATCGCATCAGCGTGATTTCGTTTTCGAACTTGCAGGGTGGCCGTAGACAAATGCGACCGCCTTTGGGCCATGGACACCGGCCTAGCAGATATTTTAGGCAACCCCAAGCAGGTATTACCCCCGTCGATCGCCATCTTCGATTTGAACACCGATAAGTTGATCAGACGGTACACAATCAAATCGGATTGGGTCAGCGAGGATGCATTTTTCGCCAATATCGTAAGTTCGAAACTTACATTTTAACCATAGACCATTTGAGACCCGTGACGTCGTAAAAGGAAAGGCTACTATAATTAGTACATATTTCACTTGCAAAAGTCAATTTTTAAGATGGTCCGTGACTCTGGGAATCAGCGAGTTCTGGTTTTGGAAAAATTATTGAGCGGGGGGGGGGGTTAAAATAGTGTCACATCCACAAAATAATAGATTCGCGAAAATTAGTGATTTAGGAAAATAAAAACTGAAATATTGCGTTAGCTCTCCCCCTTATTACAAAATTTATAGTGATGTGTCTTTACAATTATATATTGATTTGTATTATTCTCTTTTTAAAATAAAAAACATCTTTTGAGGTTCTTTTTTAAATGTTTCTAAATTTTGTGCCCTTAATAAAGTGCAATATTTGGATTAAAAATTCTCAATAAAACAGTAGATCAAAGTTTTAACATCATTTTATTATAAAAATGCGTGTAAAATATAATACGGCAGGTTCATTTGCGAGATAAGTAAATAGTAGTAACTTAAAAAAAAAAACAAAATGGAAATTAATAAAACACTAAAAAATGTGCATTTATAAACTTTAGCATGTAAACAATAACTTCAAAAACATCTAAAAGCTATCAGTAAATAACAACCGGCCTATAGTTTTTGATACATGTAGTGGTAGGTATTATTACTAAAATAAAAGAAACAACATCTCAGATAAGTAGTCTTTTAACATATAAACAATAAGAAACAACGGGCCTATAGTTTTTGAAAGAAAGCTACTGTTCATAAAATTATAAGAAACAAGAATTATCATGGCAAGTAAAGTAAAAGTAACAACCAACTAACCTGGTTTTTGGAAAATAAACAAAAAGTACTATTTTCAAAGCACATTACAGGCTATTATAAAAGTGAGTGTGACATTTTTTTAATAGCAGTACGGTAAATCTATTAAGCCATTAAAATTTTTCTATGGAATTAGTATTAACATCTCGATAAGCACAGTCTACATCCACATTTTCAAAAGATGTAAAATTGTAATTTTGTAATTAGGGGCATCTTTTTCTACTTTAAAACACACACGTCATTTATTTAGACGATATCGCCTGAACTGCCTCAATGAAAGTTAAAAGAAATATGAGTTACTAGTTTTGTAAAATCAAAAAAATAATCTAACTCATCTACCACTATACTATGTGCCGGTATTGTTAAAATACAAATGTGCGAGTTTTATAGCACAATTAACTAATAATAGCTATTTTTTGACATGTGCCATTATCGCACCCAGTGAGCGATGCATAGTACCAACTAAATTGCCAACTACTGCTGTTGTAGAATTGTTATTTTAAAACGTACTCGCGCATAGCTTAATAAGTTGGTTAGTCGGTTTCGATTCGATAACCAATGTGGCCAATTCAAATTCAAAATGAATGAACTTGATGGTCGTGGCCATCCGAATAAGAAGTAGAAGAAGAATTGTTTAAATATCTAGAAAGGATTCTGTGGTGGAACATGCACGCGGCGGTTTAACCTCCGTTCGTTCCCTACAGAATCCTTTGTAATCGTCCAAAAATTTTGAAATCGGTCTCCACTAAGTAGATTTAGTGTTGTCAGTGTTTTGTGAACGTTGTAAAGTGATAATCGTCGCCGATCCCTTCGTTTTTCCCCGTTCACGCCGGTATGGAGGCCGGATGGGCCCGGATGGTCCGCGGCGGAAGCGGGGGGTGTCGGTTTTTTTTGGTATCGGTCAAATTTGTTTTTTTGCTAGTTGAGCAAATATTGGTTATATGTCTTCTTTGTACGTGTTGGTCAATGATCAAAAGCGAAGATCCTCGACGGAAGTCGGCAATGGGCGAATGATCCTAGCAGTCGAGCCCAACATTTTTTGTGAAACGCATACTTGAACTTGAACTTGAAATATCTAGAAACTTTTTGTATTCTGCAGTGCGGTCCGCAAAAATTATTAAATGTAAGTCTCTCTCTTATTAGAAGTCCAAAAACCACTCCATATCCGAAACCTCGCATTTAACAAACCGAAATGATAAAAATTGGTGGAAAATATTTTCAAACGATATTTTTTTTTGTATAATATTTTCTCTTTAAGTTGTTAAAAAAGTGGTTTGCCCTCCACTATGCTCCCAAAATCAAAATTCAGTTGAAATGACTCGCGTATGAGCACATTGACTTTCCCTTCTCTCAATATATTTTATGTTGCCTTCAAAAGTATCAACATATATTCAGTAGCTATTTGGTGCCTACTGATACGATTGTGTGTTTAGTTTTTTTATTTCAGTTAGATTTCACCGAAACTTTTTCACTTTAGACTCTAGATATACCCTATTTGAACAAATTATATTCTTAGTATAAATATTAAAATCAGCTTTTATGAGCAATGGATTTTAATTTTTTTGGCGTCTTACATTTTTTGCCCTCATTTGTAAATATCATTTATATACGGTTAGTTCATTTCTTTTACTGGATGTAACGTTCGTTGTCCATTGTTTCTAGGAAGTTGACGTCAAAGGTGACAGATGCGACGAAGCGTTCGCTTATCTTCCGAACCTCGGATCGTACGAACTTGTCGTGTACTCTTTCCAAGAAGACGACTCGTGGCGCTTCAAGCACAACTTCTTCCACTTCGACCCGTTGAAAGGAGACTTTAACGTCAGCGGCGTCAACTTCCAGTGGAGCGACGGTATCTTCAGTATCGCGTTGGGTCCCGAAGAACCAAATGGGTAAGGCTTTCTGTTGTCGTTTTGTTAAAATAGTATCAATAGCATACAGGGTGTTCCAAAAAGGTGGGTCGATCTGATAACCATTGGCCCAAACGTAACATCGCGTCTCTTGTTTGAAAATTTTTAATATATAAAATGCATATTGTAGCAACTGTTAAATCGGAAGTGTAATTAAACACGAAATAAAACTTAAAGAATTTACTGTTCACAAATATCAAAAAACGTAAAATAACATAACATATCTTCTTTTCTTCGACTAGCACTTTCTTGTTTCTTTTATTTGGGACCATGTAGCTCACTCTAGCGGAACCGTACGTAACTAGTTCAATGAGGCTCTCTGGTCGACGGCTAATTCGTTTATTTATTACTCTCATTGTAACAAGTGTGTATATGATTGGCTATTAAGTGCATCCACCATTTTGTCAACGCGATACTACTTACAACCGCAACTAAGTGGTATTAAAAAGTTACTAAAAATATGTGGTCTAAAATGCAAAAAGTTTGCACTTGCGTACGTATTGACGTACAGTACGCTTAAAAAATTGATTATCCCCCATCAACTGTACGTTAAAATTGTATTATGTTTATATTTCTTGATTTTGCTTTTTGATTTCTAAAACCGAAGCAATAAATTATTTTTTTCAAGAAAAATATAGTACACGGGCGTTCAAAAAGTTATAAGTATTGGGCAAAGGCATGTAATTAACAAACCCTAGAAGTAAAAGATAAATCACTACCAAATTCAATAATAAATCCAATTTTCATTTCAATTCATATAAGTATTAATAATAAATAAATAAATAAATTATATCTACTTATATATTCTGTAAGATTCATTAAAATAAATTGCAAGTTTCTGTTTGCTATAAAACGTACCAAGACCAATATGGCAACTATGCCACAGTAACACGGCATTTGTAAATACATACAGGGTATTTAACTACGTATCCAATATATGACAGTGTGATTTCTGAAGTATTTTAAAGGATAAAATTATAAAAACATCCGAGATACAGGGTATCAAAGTTTCGATTTATATTTTCTGTTAATGATTGTAACTTGATACTATTTATATCACAATAAAATAAGTAAAAAAGTTCGTATAAACTTATGTCCTAAAACGCTTCATTTCGGAGATACAGGGTGTTGAAATATTGCGAAAAAATAGTTTTTTCGTATTTCTAAAAATTACTCTTCCGAATTTTGCTTTCAAAATTGGTATGTATTATAACAATATAATTCCTGAAATTGTTACGTAAATAAAAATGAATTAATATAGCGCGAATTATCTAAATAAAATTTGCAACCTCACTTACAAGATGCACATGCAAACAAAAAAAAAACTTCCACGAAAGGGATTCGTTTGAGAATTCATCAGGGTATCTAAATTTCTTAATATAATAATAATTAAATATTGGAATATTACATTTTTTATTATTTAAATTAATTGAAACACCCTCACGGACGCCACTGATTAAACAAGAACAAGTTTATCTACACTGTACATTTGTTTTTAAGTGGCAATATTATCTACTAGGTTTGAAAGTAATATCTAGAAAAGTTTTCCAAAACAACGAATTTTTGGACATAAGTTTTTAGTTATTTCTGTCTGTTGAGTACGCTATTGAAGTTTCTCCTCCTGTATGTACAACTTTTAAAATATAACTTGTGGAGATTATTGATACTTAAAAATAAAATGGACAGGAATAATGTTATTGCATCGCGTTCAGAAAGAAACAGAAATACAACAAAAATAACAGCAACCAAACCAATCGGTTTATTAAAATTTAGTCACTTTATAGTGAAAATATGTTGTTTTGTTGATAAATACGCACGTTTATCGATTGCTCCGGATAAGTTTTGAGTAAACTGAAAAATCCTTTGAATAAAATTTCAGATATCGAACTGCGTACTTCCACGCGTTAGCAAGCCTGAACGAGTTTTCGGTGAACACCGAAGTCTTGCAGAATCAAACGCTCGCCGCCGATCCTCACAATTATCATCTCTTCAAGGTAACCGAACATCTAAGACGTAGGCCATCATTATAACGTTTCGCATTTTCAGCTGGAAGGTTCCAAAGGCGAAAATTCTCAAACAGCTTCGTCCGTATTCGACCAACAGTCCAACGTTCTCTTCGTCTCGCAACAGAACAAGGACGGCGTCGCGTGCTGGAACCCCAAGAAGCCGCTGAACCCCCAAAACGTCCCTTTAATAATCGAGGACCATGAAAAACTCGTGTTCATTAACGATCTCAAAGTAAGTCCACAGTTGAAAGCGAAAAAATAGAGTTGGCCTTGATTAATTGCTGCGATGTCATTTTCGCCTGTACTGTGCTAATTGCCATGGTTACCATATCTTACGTCAAACCACAGCCTACTGGCACGGCAATAAACAAAGAATGTAACAAGTTTTGAATTTTGAATTCATTCATTTTTTTTATCTCCCCGCACGAAAATGAAAAAGTGATATTTTTTTAGATCGACGCCGACCGCAACTTGTGGATATTGTCGGACAAATTGTCACACTTCCTTTACAGGGAGCTCAGTCCAGAAGAAGTAAATTACAGGATCCTGAAAATCAAAGTCGACGACGCCATCGAGGGAAGTATTTGTAAAGTCTAGTTCGAATTAGTTTCGAGTTGTCATTTTAGTCTGATCGTTTGTATAAATTAGTAGCTTATTGTTTTTTTTCTCTGCATTTGCGTATTAATTAATGTAGAAACTTCTTTTGTACATGTATCATGTATTTGCTTGCAGAAAAATAAAGTACGCCAGAAGATTAATCGAAATTCGGCGGCAATCGTTTTATTTATCGCCTTCCTCGTCAGCATTAAAGCGTCGATGTGTTCAGTGAGCGAACGGATCGAAATACCTTTGCAGATTACCGCGCGAGTTTAAGATTCGCTCATTAAAATAAACGACATTAATTCACACTGTATAAAAATTTTAACGAATTTGCGCGTTTTTTCTGAAAGAATTTAAAAAAAAAAAAAAAACAAACAACATCAATTTTCGTAACCTTCACAAAAACTTTTGGATTTTTTAATGTTCTTTACTTTTTTTATATTTTTACGTACTTTTCATATTCTTATCTTTACTTTACTTTTTTTACTATTTATAAAACTTCTGGATTCCTCCTGCGTCGGTTTTTGTTGAGTCGAACTTTCTAACGTTTCACCAATCATCCTGTTGGCTTCTTCAGAGCGTAACTGAAACTAAAAAAAAAACTTTTTTATGTTCCTTAGTTTGCTTTTTTACATTCTTCAAAACACAGAAACAAGGAGCGGGAGTAAAAAAAATGTGGACTTGCAACTTTTGAGAATTAGCGTGCCCCCCAAAAAGAAGTGGCAAGAAGACCTGCTCACCGATAATGACATTTGTCAATAAGTCTTGAAGTTAACTATAGTTGAAATGCTATAACTATAGTTGATAACCTGCACACTCGTTTTTTTTTTTCTAAACAGCGATTTCTACACACTTAACTCATTTTCTCTGAACATTTAACTAGATCTAGGCATATTTTGCAAAAATACTGCCATAAAAATGCAGATTCTAAACTTATCTGGCAACGGCCATGTTAGTTTTTGAATGCCGCAAGGCAATGGTTAAAATATCCCTTAAAATAAAATATCCCTACCTTCTCTAAATGTTGTTCATAGTTTCAAAGTTTTTTTTGCGATTTTAAGAGATTTCTGCAAACAGTTTCTTGAATTGTAGCATTTAAAATTTTGAGAATCGCCAAATCTGCTCCTTAACAAACCTATTAAATGTTTCTTTGGTTCAGACTATATTCTTAGCACTTTACTAGGCGAGTGAATATCATTAAAAATAATTATAAGTTATTATTAACTTCAAATTAGTAAACCGAACCAAGAAATTTGGATTAGTAAGCTAGGACACTCAGATACTCTGTTAGAATACATTAATATAATTAAACATTTTCAGAAATAATTGTTATAGAATATTTTTAGTAATTTATAACAAACACTGCGGCATTGACCTTGAACCAAATTGATAGGAGAGCGGACGCGTAAATTCTTGCTATCACATTATTTATTCACATGGAATAAACAAATTATTGTTTATATCGCTACTTTTTCGGCATATAACAATCTCAACCATAAAGCAAGCAGAAATTCGTCTAAGATATGAATCAACTGTGCAACTTCTGGTAAAGTACCCAAAAATGTTACTTCATTATTTATATTTCAGGAAGTGTCTAGCATGTAAATCCCATATCTCGGTGCATAAGCTGCTTAACAAAAATTGCATGCGGCAGACTGTGACTTAAAAATTTCAGCCTAATTAGCCTGAGTAACGGCTACTCAAGATGTTAAACCGATTTGTTTTTTTCTCGAAAACAAAGCAAAATACAAAAAAAAAAATTCGAGAGACAAGAGTAGCTGCAAAAGTTGCATTTTTACATCCCGAATTATAATATATTGTCGAAATATTCGACAAACTGCCTCCCGGGACGCCACATTAATTAATCCTTTTGTCACAATAAACAGCACTACAAAATTTGAACAAAATCAGTCAGGGATATTTATGATATATATTAAAAACCCATTATTATTTTTAAGTTTGACACCCTGCGCCTTATTGCCTGCATTTTCGGACCCATGTTCATAGGAACAAAATTTCTTATTTTTTTATGTATATTCTATTAAATCATGGGGATGTTATTTCCATAAACTCTGTATATCAAAGCTTTATCACTTTCTAACCGAACGGCGCATTTTACTAAAAGGCGTAAAAATTTGGACCTGTCTGAATAGACAACATTGCTGTTGGCATTTTTAATTTCTGCATGTTCAAAAACCCCCAGGTATCGAATTTTAGCGATGACTATATTCCGACACTTATATATAAAATCAGGTGGTAATAGATTTTTAATTATAGGTATGGGGTTATAAATTTAAATTTAACAAGGGAGACGCATTTAAATCCAACTGGTCATTAAGTAATAAATTCGAATATCTCATTTTGTTAATCTCCATAGCTTCCAACAAATTTAGTTTTTTTGCTTTTCGAATGATTAAGCAAAAAAAATCAAAATTATCGTCAAGGCTGTGCATTTCTGAATTGAAATGAATGGCATAGTTAGAATCCGAACTTTTATTTTTATACGCCCTTTTATGTTCGCTAATGCGTTTCTTAAATGTTCTACATGTTTGTCCGATATAAATTTTGGACAAGATCCACATTTCAACTTGTAGACTCCGGATTTTTGAGTTTTTCGTAATTTAGTTTTATTGTTTTTTGGAAAATGTCCTATGGTGTTTTTAGTTTTAAAAGCAATATTAATACCAAATTTGGAAAGACGTTTCGAAATTTTCTTGGTAGGTTCTCCAATGTATTTTATTGTTTTATGAATTTTGTTGTCGGTGTTTAATATGGGATAGATAGAGTTCAGAGTTATTTGAAACTGCTTTTTAGTTATAATCTTATCTATCAAAGAGGGGTGTAACTATTGTTAAAAGCTATTTGTTTTATAACATTTAATTCTTTTTCAAAATTTTCAGTAGAAAGTGGTACAAGGCAGACATTTTGTGTGTGGAAGGGTGATTTTAATTATTATGTATTATTGTGTCAATGTGTGAGGGTTTATGGCAAATGGAAAAATTTAACTTGTTCTGTAGTTTAGTGTTCCGTCTCTATGGTAAATTTTATGCGGTTATGTATCGAGTTAATATGATTCAAAAAGGACTGCAGTTGTCGTTCGGTTCCAGTGAAACAAGCAAAAACATCATGTACGTATCTATACCACCATAGAAATCCTCTACTCAGAGGATATTTATGTATGATATTTTCTAAATTGTCCATGAAAATTTCTCCAAGTAATGGACTAAGTGGGTTTCCCATAATAATAATAATGTGAATTATGAAACTGTTTGGTTTTTGTAATATATTCTAGAGAATCGATAGCAATGACTTTCCTTTAACTGCTCTTGCAAATACTACATTATTTTAGGAAGCCTTATTTTTAATTGATTTTACCATAAACATATGTGTAAGATCCTTGAACTTGCTCCTACTATTGAGATTTTATTAAATTAGCTAATACGTGTTTGTTTACGATATTGCGGTAATAGAAAGTTCGCAATCAACCCCTAAACAATTTAACTCTCTATTGGTATTTGAGTAATTTAAATTAAAGTTGAAACCCTTTTTAGCAATTCAGACTCTTTTTCAGAGAATGTAGTGTTAGTCAAATTGATAAATCTATTGTAAAATTCATGATTCGAGAAGTTTGAAATGACTGTTTTTAGTTGGTTTTATTAAATTGTCTAAATTGGATTTTTGTCTTAGATACTTTTTGTGAATAACGTTTGATATATCAGTATTCTATTGCCTTATAAGTCAAATTCTATGGGATTAAGTCTATGAGATAATTCAGAATGTATTACCTTCATATAAATCCAATGTATACCTCTTTTCTTGTATTGATGTCTTCGTTCTTCTTTCAACCATTTTGTCTGACCTTTTCTTGCAGCGGGACTGTTGTTGTTGGTTTTTAGTTCCATAAATTTGGGATATACTCCGTTGTGTAAGTACTTGTTAAAAAACCAAATGTTTTGAGTATATAAATAGTTTAAAATAGCAAATAGCCAGGAAATCATTTTCAGCTCCGTTCAAAATTCGGACCGAGGTGGCTTTTACTTGATTAAAATCCATTTAACACAAATTAAATTACAACAAAAAATGCTCAGATTTTCACAGACAAAAACTGTGTCCTAATAAATAAATAAATACTTTGGCGAATGCCAAAACCAAACCATAAAATATCCTTTCTATCATTCGTAAATGCTTTAAATAAATTTACTGTTGGTTTCGATTTGTCTTATCAATCAATTGTCGTATTCCTTGGAATATAATGTCCTGGTTTGTCACAAAATTTAAATCAAAAATCGGAAAAAATGTTAATATTTAATTTAATAACCTTTTATAACCTAACACATTTTCGGACGAGCAGTGTACACAACGGGCACGATTCCTTGTCGCTGATTTTGTTCTATCGCCGTGATAATGACCTTAACTCGCCTTAACCCTTGCTTGAGAAGAATTCGAAATCAGTCGCAAAAATCACCAACAGCCGTGACGAATAATATTTAATAAAACAAAAGATAAGTGTATAAATTACCGAGTCGATCTGACGATTGAAGATTTTGTCTGGAGACCTCTCTCGAGTTGGTAGTCCATGCAGAACGTTTTTGCTTGGTAGAAAAAAAAATTGTTTCCGTTTCAACCGTTGCTATGACGAGGGTCACCGTAGCGATACTTACCATTTTGTTTTGGTGTACCGTGGGGTCGAATTCAACGTTTCTGGACAAACTGTTCAGCGGGTACGACACCAGTGGCGGCTACTATTATCAGGGCAATGGCGGGTATTACCCTACGCGGTCGGGGTAAGTCAATATTTTGTTCAGACGATTTCCAAAAAAAGGAAACTAGGTTATTTAAAACAATGGACAATTGGGAAATACCAGTCTGAGACTCGTTTTCTTTCAAGAATATTCTAATTTTTCCAAGTTTAAAATTATTTAACTGTTAAAATTAGGTTCCCAAATGATCTTTTTTTAAATGTCCTTTTCGCCTGTACTGTGCTAATTGCCATGGTTACCATATCTTATTTCAAACCCCAGCCTACTGGCGCACCAATAAAGAGAATATAACTAATTTCGAAATGAATTCTCCGTATTTATTTATTCATTCATTTTAATCTTTGAAAAATTAGATTTTATTGCGATTCATTTTTTTTACTATTAAAATTTAAATTTATTGTAAT